CATCCGGTATTTTTCTTTCTCTTTCTGGCTTATCTCACTCAGCATGATCTTTTCCAGCTCCATCCAAGTTGCTGCGAAAGACATGTGTTTCTCTTTTTTGGTTGCTGAGTAATATTCCATTGTATATATGTACCACATCTTTCTAATCCAGTCAATGATGACATTTTTTAAGAAATTAAAAATTAAATAGAAATCATAAACACATTGTTTATATGTGTTCTTGTATTTGATAAGAAGTAGAAATTTATACTTCCCAAGGGGATTGCATCTGAGATGGAAAAATGCACAAAAATATGTAAAAATAAATTATTATAACATTTAAAAAATAAATAAATAAGGAATAGAACTCCAGAGAACTCCAGAAGTAGAACTTGGATCTCTGACCTCTCATGAACTGTACAATTGATAAAGGACCCTGAAAGATTGCCCACTCTTATTTCACTCTTGTCAATAAATTAATATTTCTCAAACTTGCAATCATAATACTAGCAATCATAATGGCATCATATTTATTCTTATATATTATTGTATAGTATATTATTGTGCTTACCTAAATATCAACATATATACCTTTTTCATTGTTATTTCAGATGGGATTATTTCATTCAGCCTGAAAAAATACCTTTGTTATTAACTTTGATGTGGGATCTGCTGGTGTATAATTCTTTGTTTAGTGATGTATCACTCCATTTTTAAGATAAAATGACGTAACATAAATGTCACCACCTTAATCACAGTCAGGTATACAATAAATTCAGTGGCTTTTAGGCTCCTCACAAAGTTGTGCAACCAAAGCACCATGAAATTCTAGAATTTTTCATTGCCCCAGAAGAAAGCCCATCTCATTAGAAATCATTCCTTCCCCTGATCCTTGAGATGAGTCATCTACTTGCTGTGCCTATGGGTTTGCCTATTCATACATTCTATATCAATCCTACACAGTGTGAATATGTGTATTTGTCATCATTCATGTAGCATAATGTTTTCAAAGTTCATCCCTGTTGTGGTCACCTTTATTTTTAAATATTTTCAGTAGCATAAGTTCTTTGTTGCATATACTAATAACTGTTCCTCTTTCCAGTGGAATAGTATTGCACAGGTTACTCTTTTTAGAAAATTACATATAGCGATTTGAGTCAGGACTACAATTGAAAGGCAATGGTGTTTTAAGAAAATATTTTTGTTCAAATTATCTAAGTATTTGGTTCTTTTTGAAGTTACTGTTACTGAAAATCTATTCTTGATTTCAGTTTTGGAATTCTCATTGCTAGTATATAAACAAAATTGATTTTGTATATTTATCTTGTGAACATACTGAACTTATTAGTTTTAGTAGTTTTTAAAAGATTCTTTAGAATTTTCTAAATCCAGGTGCATGTCAGATAAGAATAAAGATAGCCTTAGATCTTTTTCTTTCTCTCATAATACTATTTATTTCTTTTTCTTACCTAATTGCTCCGGCTAGAACGTCCAGTACAATCTTAAATAGGATATCTTCTTGGAGAGTGTCTGTTTTGTTCTTTTGTCCTTTTTTTTTTGATTGGATTGTTCTGTTTTTATAGAATTTTATGAGTTCTTACTGTATCTTTGGTATCAGTCCTTTGTCAGATGTATGATGTCTGTGCTGACTTCTTATCCTTTGCTATAAAAGCTCTACTAGTAAGGTTTTCAGGTCTATTTCTGAACAACGTAAGCCATAATTAGATATAGAGATGTTGTATCCTTCAGAGGAGGAGGTAAGTTCTGATTTTTTATATTACCATCATCAATCTGCTCCCTTAAAATATTTGTTGATCAGTAAGTTCTCATCTCTAATTTAGGTCAAGGTGCTTATCAGAAACTAACCAAGTTATTCGTTTAACATCTTTTACTGATATATCTGAATGTCTGAAGCCCCAGTTGGACAGAAGATACACTTATACAGAAGAAAACATTGTAAGCAGTTTGAGTTAATTAATCTGATTATTTAACTGACCGATGCCCCTTGATTTTAGAGAATTTTTATTGATTTGCCACAATATTTTTTTTTCTTACTAAAAAATGAATTTGTTTTTTTCAAAAGGATTTTAAAAAATACCCTTTCTGTGTCCTTTTGTAGTACCATGTTGTTAAATACTCCTTGGATTACTGTTTTCAAAAACAGCTGTGTTCTGGTTTGGGTATGATAATATCTTAGACACAAAGTAAGACCATCTGTGTATTTATTAATCTTTAACACATAATTATAAATAATATTTGATGCTACATTTTGGAAACTTAAACTTTTTAAAAGGCAGGTTTTCCCAAAATATATCTAGTTTGATAATTTGGATTTAATAACCAATTTTAGATGAAAATTTCATGTTCTAAGGGGTATATATTTTTTAAATTGAAGTAAAATTGCATTATAACAATATAAAAACCTCAGGTATGCATCATTATAAGTCAACATTTGTACATACTACAGATTAAGTCCAAAACTCTCCTTTACGGTATAATTGACTCCATTTACCTGATTTACCAACTCATTTTTTCCTTCCCTTTTGTAGCCACTACTTTGGTCTAAAGATCTGAAGGTATATTTTGTTTTAGATAGTTCATTCGTTTTATCTATGTATTTGTTTATGTATGATTTGTTTGAAATCATAAGGTGTTTGTTTTTCCCTAATTTATTTCATTAAGCTTCATATCTTCTAGGTTCATCTATGTTGATGCAATGGTAGTATTTCATCTTTCTTTTTATTTATTTATTTTTAAAGATTTGTTTATTTATGCATACAAGAACTAGGGTATAGGCCAGAGGTGCAGTGGAGAGGGGGGAGGGTGATAAGATTCACCAGAAACAGAACAAAAGCAGAACAGGCAGATTGACTGATACACTGCTGAGGGGAGCAACAGGCAGGACAGGAGAGGTCTTCTGTGCCATGGCCAGGTATTAAACTCATGCTGCAGTAGCTGTGGAGAGCTTCATAGTGCTGTGCTTTAGCCCACTGAGCCACCAGGGAAGGCCCCTCATCTTTCTTTTTAAGAATTTTAGTAGCGGCCCTCCCTGGTGGCGCAGTGGATTAAAGCACAGCACTCAGAAGCTAAAGCCACTTCCGCATGAGTTTGATTCCCGCCTGCCCTGGAGGTGACCACATGGTGTGGCAGACCTCTCCTGACCCGCCCCTGTTATCACGGACCCACTCAGAGCTGGAGTGCTGGGTTAGAAAAAAAATTGCGGGCCCTCCCTGGTGGC